ATAAGACCGGTGAAACTGTTTGATCAGCCTTGATTTATATCTTTATTTGATTTTAAAAGAAGGCCAACAAAAAACATTATAGGCCTTGCGATGAACAGCATTGATCAGCATTAGTTTCGAAGTCATCAAAACTTCACTAGAATTCGCGAAAAAAAAATTGGACGGACTTTTTTCATTTTTTTCGACAATTATTTAATCACTGCCCAGGTCAAACAATCCTACTGTAGGATCCTGCAAGGTCGTGTACGATCCTATGATAGGTTGTTATAGGATTCTTACCACAGGAATCTTGATAGGATTTATGCGATGATCCTATATGAGGAAGTCCTATGATTTCCTATAATAGGATTTTGTAGCAATTGATAAGATCTTATGTAGGAATCCCACGAAGTCTTATAGTCTGTAGGATCTTATAGGATCTTGTAAGATCCTACATAGGATTCATTGATCTGGGTGCGAGACAATTGTAAAAGGAGTATACAAATAAGTTTCCAGCATATGTTCGGAAAATCCGTTTTTGTAGATTATAAAATACTTCTTTGGAGGCCTATAATGTTTTTTGTTGGCCTTCTTTTAAAATCAAATAAAGATATAAATCAAGGCTGATCAAACAGTTTCAGGCACCCTAATCATCAGTTCTTATAAAAGAATCAGACACGAAACTTGTAAGAAGCATGTAAGAATCCTAAAAGCACTATCTAAGAATCTTATAAGAATCAAATTCTATTCTTATACAAGATCTTCCACGAAAGTGCAAAGAATTCAGCTGGATCTTGTAAGATTCACATAAGCTTTTGTAAGAAATTGATAAGAATCGTATGTTACTCTTATCATATTCTTGTGTGATTCTTGCGAGTTTCTTATAGAGAAACTTGATCGGCTCGCCCTACAAAAAAGTTCAAGTGCAGCACTAGGAAAAGATCGGCACTCCAGTGCGAACGGCATGCTATGCTGTACTGGTATCGGCGCGCACTCATGCAGCATTTTTCCAGTTATGGTTTGTTTTCTAGGATTGAATCCATTATGTTTTTACTTAAACTTTTCTTCGAGAACATAATGCATATACACACGTGATATATATATGCACCCAAAGGCATAGATTGAACCGTTTATATACGTCACGTGTGTGTTCTATGTAACAATGCTTTCGAAAAAGACCGTTGTGTATAACAACATTATAGGCCAACAAAAAATATTATAGCCCTAACGATGAACAGCATTGATCAGCATTAGTTTCGAAGAAATCAAAACTTTACTAGAATTCGCGAACCTTTTTCGACAATTATTTCATCACTGCGAGACAATTGTAAAAGGAGTATACAAATAAGTTTCCAGCATATGTTCGGAAAATCCGTTTTTGTAGATTATAAAATACTTCTTTGGATCAATAAGAAACTACTTTAGAGTGGAAAAAGTCGTCGACATATTGTGCAGAAACTTTTCTGATACGCGACAGTCTATTTCTCAAACAATCTTTTCATCACTGTAAGACAATTATGAAACGATCTATAATTTAGTGGTATACACTTGTAACGAAGAATCAGTTATTCGAAAGACACATCAATGGACAGTGATATTTCGATGTTCTATCTCATTGTCTTCATGGATGTCACACCTAATCTTCTATCACAATCACAATCAAATGTTATGAGTTCAGCAACAGGCACACTAGCAGAAGAAGATGATATGAGGATAGAAATCGATAATCCCATCGAGAGTTTTGGAGGTATTATTATATTATTAGCTTAAAGTTATCTTGATCAATTTTTTCTTGCATACAATAGTTGACCATTTTAAACGATGAGCTAACCACGTCGATCGTTCCGGTCGCCGGAAGCGACCGGTTTCATTGTATTCCGTCGTCGTTCCGGTCGGTTCCTTTATGTTCCGGCGTGTTCCTGCTACCGGATTCCATCGGGTTTCCGGCTCGGACGATTCCGACGACTTTTTCGACTGGAAGCGGTCGGAATACGTCGGAAACAGAACGGAACCTGCCGCAGGAACAGTCAGCTGGAATCTGGTTGCACGGAAGACGTCGGAACATAAAGGAACCGGGCGAGAATGACCTGGGCATCTGTTTACTCATACTGTGAAAACTACTATGTGTAAAAAATCTGATCTGTTCTTATTAGGGGTGAGATAATTTCAGTTCCTAAAGTTTCTGAGAACTGGTAGAAAGAACTGGCTAGCCGTTCTCGTTCTAAGAACGGGAGCTGCAGAATGTTCTTGTCAGTAGGGAGTAGAATTTTGGAGGTATTATTATAGAGTGTCATTAACGAGGCAAATGAGTGATCAAGTAATAACATAAATAGTACCGGATATAAAAAATTTTTAATATAAACAATAATAATTTGTAACAATAGTCACCCATTTTTGAGATTTTTGCTAATTAACAGACTATATGAGACAAAACACACTAGCATCGAAGAATTATTCTAAAAATATAATGCTGTAATTAGATATGAATTTTTACTTTTCAAACAATCATCCACACAGGATAGTCTCAAAATGATAAATACATTCTGTTTGATCAATTTCTTAAATGTTAAACTAAAGATAATAAACATTAACTTTTTCTCTTTTAACTAATTTAAATCTTATGATCAGACAAACAAATTTAAAATTATCCTTAAATAAGAACAATATATTCGATATGTATAGATTGCATGCAGACTTACACACACAAATATGAACATTCGTATTCGATTTAATTAATACTAACAAAAATAAAATACAACAGGAACGAGTTTACAAGCAAAAAGATAACAACACTGCACATCATTTTAACGGATATATACTTTGAGCAGAAAAGTAGAAAACAACAAAAATAATACAAAACAAAAGAGAAGAAAATATATCCATCTGACATATTTATATCAAAACAAGTACAAGAAATTAGGAAAATATTAAATCGTATTTCATATCAGATGAAGAGTCCTGTTTTTACACTTGAAACGAACAAAACCGAAAAACACAATGATTCCAATAAGTCAAAAGATTATTTAAATTATATTGGTTCAATAAAAAAAACAGACAAAAAAATATATAAAATATACGATTTATATACATTAAAATTTAAATTATTAGTAAGTAAAAACAAAATCATAAGCACATTTTATCTGGCATTAAATTGATTTGATTTAATTGCATACTAAAATGAATATGAAAAATAAACAGATATAGAGAAAAGAAATTACGGATGTATTTATCTGACACTCTACAAAACATCACTGAAATCATATGTATGCATTATAAAAAAAATTAATAAGATTAACTATATTGAAGATGATGATGAAATTGTATTTTGTTGTATTTGATACAATTTTCGTTGTAAACTTGATGCTGATCGTCGTTCATCTGGACATTTGGACCAACATTCACGAATTAAATTTGAATAAGCTAATAATACCTATATACATACATTTATATGTAAAAAAATGAAATGTTCAATAAACAAAGATTTATCTACTACTTACTTCATTTTGATTACACTTCATTTGATCTAAAACTGGTCTAATTTCTTTTTGACATACAATATCTCGGACGTCATTTAATGTTGGATTTGTTATTAACGGTAATTGATTAACATATGGCAAAGAATATTCAATTGATGAATCTGAAATCATTTCATATTTTTATAATCTTGATTGAGCTAATCGTTTCAATCTATACCTGTCATTGTCGTTGATGTACAATTGAACATTTCCCATAAAACGAGTGCAAATGAATAAATATCAGCTTGTTGATAAGATGTTATTTGTTCATAACGAAAAGTATTATTTAATAATTCGGGTGCCATATAAATTACAGTACCAACTTGACCACGCGTTTTTATACTTGGATCAATTATTTTTTGAGTATTTCTAGAAAATAAACAATTGTTAAATATTAATTGACAAAACATTAATAAATCTAGAAACCATACGGATCACATTGAATAGACCAACTAAAATCGGATAAACAACATTCACCATTTGATTTTACTAGAATATTTGAACTTTTAATATCACAATGAGCCATACGCGGTTTACAACGATCTATACAACAACAATAAAGAACAAACGAATATTTATTAATTTTATAAAATTATAAAGTAATACCATTTGTTGCATATTTAGTCGAATGTAAATGTTGTAATCCATTAGCAGCTGATGTTGAATATTTCATTAGTGTATCGATTGTTATGGATTTTGATTTTGATAACACATTTTGCAATGAACCAAGTTCATGATACTCCGTTATAATCATATAAAATGTATTTATCCCATTACTATACAAATCAGCACCAAAAAATGCTAGAATAATTAAAAACAATTTTTATGTTAAGTTAAATGGAATCAGACAGTAGAGCAAGCTCACACAAGATATTTGGATGACATGTAAGAACATTTTCATAAATAGCTCGCTCTCTGTTATATTCTGATTCATATCGAGTTGTAAACATTTTCAATGCACGATTTTGATTTGATATATCACCCAACCATACACATGCATGACGTCCCTTTGCTAGTGGATATAATAGTGTAACTTCTTTGCTCATTCGACGAACATTCTAAAACATAAACATTCAAATTGTCAATACGTACCCTTCTTTAATCAGATAATTTACAGTCATACCAAAAACCTTGTTTTTCCACAGGATGATGTATACCATGACGTTGTGTCGTATTCTTCAGAGCCCTGTGGCGAGAGATATTGCACATTTTGTTGTTTATCACTATTTGATTCCTTTCCATCACTGCACAATGATAACAATGGTTTCTTTCTTGATGAATTTGATGATGAAGAAGCAAATAATGTTCGAAAGCATGTTTGAATTCTAAAAATGAAACCACATGTTATTTTAGTCCTTTCTCAAGTGTGAATCTGAATAATTCTCTGCTATGACATCTTACTTTTCATTTAAGATCCAAATGAGAAGTGCACACACTATACTGCCTAGTACAGCAGCCACAATAATTAATTTGGATTCCATTTCATGCAATGAAACTGATTGTGTCGATGGGTCTAAAAATATCATAATAAAAAGTCTTGATTTGATAAGTTCCCTTTTAACTCATTTTACTTCACTTACAAAGTATTGTTGCCGCCGCCGTTATTTTTGTTGTTATATTTCTTCTACCAATAGTAGTAGTCATAGTACTAACATTTTGATGAAATAAATCGGGTGTATTACAAAAATTCGTTTTACAACAAATAGTTTTGTACTCATTGTTCGATTTATCATTACACTAGATGATATTAACTTGAAGTAAAGAAAAGGAAATATTAAATTTTATATACTCACCAAGAAGAACGCAGATTCGCCAATACAACCATAATCATCTTTAATTTCATATGGCTTCAATGACTGCCGAAAATAGCATTGATTTGTTGTCAAACAATAAAATGTCTTATCTATCTGACATAATTTACAATGACAGCGAAGTTTTCTCGGTACTTTCATTTTTTCATTCACCATTGTTTGTATTAAATAAAGGGGTATAAAAAAGTGAACATAATAGAGAGATAGAAACAGCTCTAAAATAAAAAATAAAATATACAGATTTTTCTCTAATTCTTGTCATATTAACATATATCCAGTGTATATCTAATTAAAGATAATTGTTCACGTAATGTGTATGTTTTTTCTTTCCAATTTGAGAAAAGCCATAGTATCCACGACTTAACTATCTTATCTATACTTCACAGTACGAAACACATGCAAACAAACTACGTAACACATTATGTTACTTAGTATTGCATCATATGCAATCACAGTAAAATTTTCCAAATTATTACAAATGAAAACAGAAGACATTATCCTAAATAGCATTATTTCTAGAAAATCAACTGTCTCTCTCTCTCTCCCTCTCTCTCGCCAATTCTCCGTCCTAAACTAAAAAGATTAAGTCTATTTTTGTCTTTTGAGCAAAAAATTAAAAAAGTTACACTGTCTCATATCTTGAGGTATTAATTCACACAAAACAGAATAGAAAAAGAAAATAGTGCTGAGATACATAAAAGGGATATACCTATCTTTTTATGTAATGCGAAAGAACTGAATCTCAGCATAAACCCGAGTCTTTTCATTATTAACTGCATTGTCTGTTGCACAGTACAACAGGAAAAAGAATTTGATTAATTTTAAGTACCGCATGTTATTCAATATACTTTTTGTTTGAATTTGACAAAAACACTTGATATGAAGAAGTAATTAATTAACACACGGGCGCTTTGATCAGAACGCAACACAAAATGACAATTATGATATGCTTTTTCTAGAAATCTTGGCTACAAACATGTGCTTAACACAATCAGTCGAAAGTTGCATGAATGAGAGTTAGAAGAAAAAGTCTTCGTAGCTCGTCAAGAGCCTATCCCTTAAAGCGATGTATAGGTTAAACTTCATCAATGCTGTATTTTTGTTCCTGGAATGCGAAGTGTTCGTTTGGCAAAAAACTGTGAAAAATCAAAATCATGAAACTTGATGAGAAAATGTGCAAAAAAAAAGGAAGTACAATAGCTTTCCCCTGTAAATGTGCATACATTCACTAATTATACATTTCCTCGAAAACATCTAGTATCTAAGAACAAAAATGAACTTCAGTAATTAAACATCATTTGTTGAGAATGGTGCTTGATTAGACTGGTGGCTTTGTGGTTCAAGAGTACAGCATTAGCCGAGATAATAAGTACCCTTAAACTTGAATCCTAGTCGTAATATGCACTTTTTCCTAACAATGTTTGCTTATCATAGTCAAACAAATGATGGTTATAGTTTTGTGATTTTTCTCCTGTTTTCTTGTAAACTACCAAAAAAACGAATGAATTACAGTCTAGGACGGAAGTCGATTTGGTTATGGTACGAGAAGCTATTGTAGTAAAGCAAAACCACATAGATTCAAAAGAACTGTCCTTGTCGAATACACGTACGCATTATGATCAAATGGCATGCGATGAAAACAATGAGCTTTGTTCATGCATTTGTTCGCTCTTAGCAAATGAATAAAAGTTTTGACTTCGAATTTAAACAAACGGAATACCGTTTCTGTTTTCATTGATTCCAGACAATCCGCGGTTAACAAAACTTTTACCCACGAGTGCACGTCATTCGAAGTTAAGATGACGAAGAATATTTCACCTTGCAGCTGCCGTTAGCTAACAAGCCTCTAAAAGATATGCCCCTTTTAAATAGATCAATACCACCCATATAGCTGACGATCTTTGAAGATATTCACTCATCTTGTTACTAATTATCAACTACAACTCTGACATAGAGCTCTTTCGTTCAATTGTGCTATGAAATGCGTGATCTGAGGTGTATGAACACGAGTAACCCGTCCAAACATATTACACGAATGGAAAATGCCGGCGTTTGAGCACTATTAAAGTACGTGACGACCAACGTAACCATAAAACATACTATATAAGGATGTTGAATTCTATAGAAAAAATATTACATAAAAACAACATATTTACTGTGACTTTATCATAAATTTCATGTAACTGTTTTTGGCAGTAAAACAAAACCGTGGTTTTATATGTATACTCTAGCTGCCAAACAGGAAAGCGTAAGAGTGTACTGCGTTTTATTGTACGCCTTTTAGTGTGGACTACGTTGTTTTCTTTTAGTTACAAATACTAGCTCCAAAGAGAGACTATCTAAGCCAATTCGCATTGATCCTGGCTCCTTCCAAGCTACTATTTGGAGCAACATCCTTTTTATGTTTCCTCAGGAAACAACATAAAACATTGACGACTGACATGGCTACTGTCGATTGACAGCTATTATTATAATTTTAACAGCGGGAAACAATGAATTAGGTCTGGTTCAAATTTGAGCCAATGAAAAGTGTTGTAGGAGTCTCTACGAATTGGTGAGATAGAAATGCATTAAGTACGTTGTAAAAGCAACAAAAATGCTCAACAAAATCAATTCAGAATAAAAAGTCTTTTGACTTTTGCTTCATATTTATTGAGTATGCTGTTATTTTTTCTAATATCGACTGCCTCTACATATGTGGCTCTAACATACGCGGACCGCCTTGAAATCTTCCTTCGTTACCCACTAAATGAAAAGATTCGAGTGAGGGTGAGGGTGGGAGTGAGGCACAGGATACGTGATGTACGTGCGTTTTTATAGGTTACTCAGCGTCCTGAATAATGTGGAGATGATTAGCAGATACAAATACGCGGATAAAAAATTAAGGGACAGGAGTCTTCGCGATTTAAGGAGGAAAAAACTTCTTATGAGTTCAAAAGTAGATTTAGATAATGAAAAATACTTCGGTACTTTCGGTAGCGGTTCCAATGGTTGGTACCGAACGCTCGGTACCGGTATCACACAAGTACCGGCACCGATACTTACGTAGTTCGGATCGAATATTATTATCACTTTTGTTCTCACAATTACTTACAGTATGTCAAAAATTTTATGTTTTTGGTGACCACTTATTTTATGTCACAACTTTTTGTACGTGTAGTCTGATGGCAAGATTATTCGGTAAAAATGGCAAAGAATGGAATTGATTTTCATGGAAGAAAACTGAAAAATACTAGAAAATGTCTCACAACTATATTTGTATGAATCTGATATTCCAAACTTACTTAATCTAATTTTAACGATAAAATACTATTTTCATCTTCACATTAAAGATGGTTAATAGAACGGTGTGATATTTATCAGCATAGTGTAAAATTTCGCAAAGATATTGGAAGATTTCAGAAAAAACTTCGAATTTTTTAGTATTAAAAATATTGCAAAAAATGTCTTCCGTAGTATTGCAGAAAATTATACGTTTTTTTAGAAATTCTACTTATAAGCTTTGCACAATTTCTAGAAAGAGATTAGTTTGAAACTTGAAGTTTGCATATTCGAGCGCATTGTCTTTCAGTTTTTACCGAAATAAACTGATGAGTTATATCCGTATAACATACTGGAAATATGAACGGTCAGCTTTTCAAATATATGGTAATCCATTTATCAGAATCATCCATATCTAATAATAATTCCATTTAACCTTGTAATGTAGGCAAAACACTGAATATAGTGTCTTCTTTCTTTCTTTCGTTAAGATATATTTTAACTCTACAGTACACTGTAAGATTGGAAATTATTTATGGAAAATGCTCGGCGATTTTCAAAGAGTACATATGGAAATTCTCCGAGGATTTTCCAGTTTATAGAAAATCGAATTTACAACAATCTAGAAAATCCTCCTTGATTTCCAGTTTGTTAAAAAATCGCCATTGAATTTCTATAAATAATTTTCAAGAAAGTAGAAATTTCTTTTTGATGTTCTATAAATTGGAAATTCCTTGGCGGGTCTTCACCGAGTGACGGCGCGACCAGGTTGTATGGAAGTTAACCTCGCTCATGCTGTTGAAATTTCTGGTGAACAGTTCCGATTTTCGCTCTGCTAAATCAAAATTCTTGCTGGCATAGGCAAAATTGTGATTTGAAGTAGAAACTGTCTCAGTTGATTTAAGTGTAATATGAGTGTCTTTATGTGACGGTCTTATACCTACACTGATTGCAAAACCAAAAGATGAATAAGTATTTGGTCTAGAAATTCCTGGGCGAATTTCTACTTTCTTATACGTCGTTCTACTTCAAAAAATCGCCGGGGATTTTCCAGTTTATAGAAAATCCTCAGCGGTTCTCCACCTTTATAGAAAATCGAATTTATAGAAAATCAGCATTTCCTAGAACGCTGGAAATTTGTCGAGGAATTTCTATAAACTAGAAAATCCCCGGCGATTTTTCGGTCGATTTTCTATAAAGTGGAAATTAATTCAAGATTACAGTGTACATTTTTTGTTATTATTTGTTTAGGTTATATTTATTTTAATTTGTTATCTGTTATTATTCATCGTCTCTGTTACATTTTGTGATGTAAATTGTGAGTAATACATTGATCATACACGGGAAAGAAAGAAAAAAATGTCCTCTGTATACAGGTGAACTCCATCATTTGATCGCTTCGACCTAGCTCCGAATTCTTTCGTTCAATCAATCCTATTAAAGTTAATAATAAACTTTCTTTGAATTTCCTCAGTATAAAATGTTTATACATGTTTATTTAAAGAATTTGGACAAAAATTCATGAAGAATCTAGACTACTACTACTATTTATACAAAGTAGATCAATTTATTACATGATCGTTATTAATCATAGCTAGAAACGTTATTAATAGAAGAATATATCAAGGTTAAAGAAGTACATTCTTTTTCTTATGATCTAACAAATAGTATATAAAAAGATTGTTTTTTTCTAGTATGCTGTAAAATTAGATGATATAATCAAAAATTTGAAATAGATTAAAACATTTCTTTTTGTATTATATATATAAAAACAGTAAGTATTCTAAATTTGTTAATTTTCTTAGTCTACTTTTTCTCTTAAAATATCATTGTTCCAATTGAGTCTAACCTAAATAAATCTGCTAGAAGTTTTAGTCAAAATATATTTCTTCCTATTTGCTCACACAACTGAATTTTGATTAGCTTTTATTATTATTACGAATTCTACAGGTTAGCAGTGCATAACATAACACAGAATGGAAAAAAAAAATCTCAGTATAGTTTTCAATTATAATTTTTTCGTATAATTTTAGATCAAAAAATGGCATCAAATGAACAAAGTTCATCACCTAGAAGAAATTGGTCAGAAGAACGAGAACAACAACATCGATTAAAATTTGAAGAAAATTTTACTAAAATTAATGGTGGAAATAGTATCAACAGTGAACAAGCATGGAATTTAATTATTGATACAAAAAAACAAATGTGGGAAAATAAACGTCGACATCATGGACCAAACAGCTCTGAAGAAGAACAAAGTGGAAGCGATCGCTCAAGACCTCCACCACCAGATGGTCAATCACACGGACCACATGGAGGCCCACCACACCACCAAGGTGGCCACCATCTATCGCCACATTGGGAACAAATGAAAAAAGAACGACAAGAAAAATTTGAACAAATTCAACAAAAAATGCGACCAAAATTTAATGAAAATTTCATTGCTGTCAATAATGGCCAAGATATCAGTAGAGAACAAGCATGGCAACTATATTTGGATACAAAACATCAAATGCGTGAACATATGCATGAATTTCATGAACAAGATATACAAAAAAAAATGCGTCCAATATTTGATAAAAATTTTGATCAATTAGCCAATGAGAAAATTAGTCGTGAACAAGCATGGCAATTGCTCATTGATACTGGTAAACAGATGCGTAATGAAATGCATTGGGGACATGGTGGACCAGGTAGAAAACATGGTGGACCAGGTGGAAAACACGGTGGTAGATGCTGTCCGCCAAAATAAATGACTGAACGATGGAATGGTGTTAACATTTTGCCATTTGCTTCTTTTTTTTTAATATTCCTTTAGTCAGGAAAAAAATATCAAATTTCGCATATTAGAAACAAAACTATTTTGTTTCAGTAACCTTTCGGTTAGGATACATCGCAGTTTTTTGCATGTACTACAATAATTTTAAGCTTCTTAAGCCATATTGGTTCGAGTAAAATCGTGCAGGAATTCAATATTCTGTCACATATACTTAAACCACCTGAGCTTAAAATTTTTAATGCTTTCAGTCAACTTATGAACTTATTTTTAAAACAACAAAAATGAAAAACAAGTTTAGCTGATAGTAGCAGATAGTCTTGACTATTTGTTCTTATCGATAAATTGTAAATAAAAACGATTATCTTTTCTACTCTACAAGTAAATAATATTAAATTCATACTAATGTTGTAATACATTCGTGTTTTTCTTCATTCCTCACACAGACAAATAAATACTTCCGATCCATGTGTACAAAATATATATCACATTTTTTTTCTAAATGGGATGATTTTGTTATTATTGAGATTCTTTTATGGTTGTTATTTGTTGTTGTCACCGTCGAATACGTAGCGAATGTGGGTATAAGGTGTCGGCAATTCGAAAATCAAATATAGAAAAAAGTGTTGCCTTTTTTGGTCATGGTTAGATAGAGCTGGTCGAATTATATAGAAAAACGCCATTTTTAAGGTTTTAAAAACGATTTTCATATAAAAAATGTTTAAAATACTAAACTTTTCAAATAAGGTGAAATTTAATCAAATTTTTGAAAATTATCAAAATTTTCATCTTTATAAATCTTTTTAATTTTCAAAATCGCTTTATTCTAATTCACCATGTTAAACTGAGTATAGAAAACTGAATTTGATCAAATTATTAAAAGTGATCAAAAAATTTCGCAAACACGAGCAGAATAGGAGAAAAGCCAATCTTGTGTCCTACAAACCAATCAAGTCTTTATAGATCGAAAGAAGAGCAATTCTTTTTACTTCATTCTAATCAGCACACATACCTATGGGGAAACAAATTTTCCAGATCAGTGGCAACAACCAAGAAAATGCACTGTATTTTGCAATTTTCATCATCAAATTTCAATTTTTTCGCAACACCAAAGACATATTCACAATACCAATATTGTTTGTTGTAATATAATTTAGTAAAGATAATAATAATTGTATGTACACAACAATCATTGAATTTTTCTATTTCAAAAAACCGAAACTTTCGATTACGATCTGTAATCATCATCAGCTATAGTTTAAAATAAAAAAACACGACTATATACCATTCACTCGTTCTTTCTCATTCTTATTTTCCGTTTTTCACTTTTCGCTCTTTCTTTTTGTTCTTATGAACATATGTTGAATACTGCAAGGAGGAGAAACAGAAGAATATCAAATTTCCTTATTGCAATATTCCCCTCTCCCTTATTGATAACTGTTCAATTGAAAATTAACATTTCGTGAGTAATTTTATTGTATGATGTTTAATATTGCATCGTCAACATTATCTCCTTAATTTCTCTCTTTTTCCAATGTGTATCTAATCTCTTTTCATAATCGTTGGGTCACTAAATTTCACGACATGATTCTTGTTGTTTGGCATATGATCAGCAGCAGACGATTTTCCTTCTTCTTTTAATTCGTTATGACATTTCAATACCAACATATGTTAAAGATGTAAAAAAGGTTTTCTTCTTTGTTTTTAACATATGTTTAGAAGAACAAAAAGAAAGAGAGCGAAAAGTAAGTGAATAGTGAGAAGCGAAAAATAAGAATGAGAAAAAACGAGTAAATCGTATATATAGCCGTGTTTTTTTATTGTATAGATGATGATGATTACAGAAAGTTTCGGTTTTTTTAAATAAAAAAAATCAGTGATTGTTCTGTGCATACGATTGTTATTATATTCACAATCTACATCAAAAATTGAATTGAATGATGTCTGTTTGAGAATTTTTGGAGAATTTCGATTTTTTTTTTGAATTTCTTGACCGAGCTTTTCGTTGAATGGGTTGATTGTCGCTATTTTATTTGATAAAAATGAAGCCTTTTCTTACATATTTTATTATTTATTTTTTATTAGATATTTTTAGCAAATGATTAATTTGTTGTGGATCGGATGTTGGATCAATAATTTTCGAGCAAGCTAGATGAAAAACAAACAAACACATACTACATGAGAATAATAATAAGTAAATTCTTTTTTCCTCATTTTGTTAAATCGTAGATGAATATCATAAAACTTTATAGAAAATTATTAAGGTGTAATTTCAAGCTGAGGATTGAACACTCAAATTTCAGAGTAAAAATTATCTTTTTCAAAAATCAGAGTAGAGTACGGCCTCGTTATTTCCAAATTCGGAGTAAAACCTTAAAAGGCAGGATGTAGATACTCTACTTCAAGTCCGCGAGAATCTGGTCTCGAAGCTTTTAAAGCGGATAAGATTAGTGAAGTTATTCACAAGCTATATTTTCATATTTTATTTTAAAAGTGTATATAACAGTTTTAATAAATAATAATATAATCTCGTACCATATTAATCAATTCAACTTGAACCTACTGAAGTTTGAGAGATGGCAATATATGTTACATCATTTTCTATTTAGATTTTATTGAATGAAGCAAGAAAAAAAAACAGCAAACACAATGAAAAAACAAGATAAGAACAAGAGAGATTTGTTCACAAATACAAAACAACAAAAATAAAGTGATCCACCGAGGCAAAACTTCTCATTTCAATATTCAATCACTAGTTTTTTGTTTGTTAATGATAAGCAAATTGTCTAATATCAAATAGAATAAAAAGTGTATTTTCACACAAAATATCACAGTGTTATAAAAATAACAGCACAAACGCAATTTTCAATATAAAAAAACAAATACATATGCAAAATTCTTCGTATTACTTTGATTTAAAAACGTTGAGATTGTAAGATGAGATTTTACAAACTAATATTGTTTGAGTATTTTGAGATAGTGTACAACGGGACAATGATGATGGTAAATTTAAAAATGATTTTTTCTAAATAATGAGTCGTAATAAGATAGTCAGCGAATGAAACACTACTATAATGAGTGGCTAATATGGATACTACTGAAACTAAGAATACATACCTCGAATCAAATATTTACGCCCTATTGTCACCCATGCCTGGTACAGGCCTGTTTCCTATTCCTTCTTGTATATAAGATTGTTGCTGAGGAGGAGGTGGGTATTGTTGATGTCGTTGAGCGGTACGACTTTTAAACCATTTTGTTTCTTTATAAACAAACCAGACAGCGCTCATCCATAAGATAAAATTCAAAAATCCAAATATAACCGACACAATAATGTTGGCGTATGAGCCACCAATCACTGGGGTACAATTTGCTGATGGGTTACAACTATCGATTTGAGCAACAACAGTATCATAATCTGTTTGTGTTCTAATATCGCTGACGCCTTTTGCCCACGCTAGAAATAAGTAAATAAAATGGTCAACATTAAATACGATGAGTGGTTTGCAACAGCGTGAGCAAAGATGTTCACCGATTTGAATATATACTATTATCAATTCGTTGATAACTTAGAAACAAAGTGATACATGGACGAAGGCTAAGTATGGGTAGTTTTTTCGGCCTTTAATGTCTTCTAAATAGGGAAATCCATAATCGAAAGATTCGATCACTGACATGATAAGTCTAAGCAAATTCACTACTTGTTGTCTTTTTTAACTAACCTGCACTTCCAGCAATCCAAAATATGCTCCACACAACTGTAATTAATAAATCAATTGATGGCAAACGTTCATCTTGTCGATATTTGACATCCAGAAATACATAGATGATACAAGCAGCTAATGCTAGTAAAAATGCTGTAACACCGGTAAATACAAAAAATTCTGCTGATGGTTTTATTCCATTTGAACTCGATAAATACAGCGTTCCATTATTACTGAGTGCATTTTTTACTACAACACTGCCTAACGAATATGGGTAAGACCAATCGGCCCGTATCGCTGGACTACTGGGGCCAGTATCTATTACGAAATATGATGTACCATTCACAGCCGTAGCGAAAGCAAATATAGCAAAAACGAATTGTAATAATCGAAGTAGACCACGTGGTTCTCTAAATATACCCCAATATGCCATCGCATGTGTAACACTAAGTTTTGATTGCATCGAGTCCATTTTGAATGTGATAATTATCTAAAACGAAAAAACAACAAAAATGTATTAGTATCAGCAAAAAGTTTGGTTAGAACTCTAGTTTTTATGAATATTTAAAAACTATCACAAAAGAAATGCTGTTATTATAACTGCTATTATTGGATAAAAACGATTTTTGTAGTAGTCTCTCCAGTCACCATCAATAAGGTGATTCTCAACATTAAAAAATGAAATAGTAACGGCGTGCTCGCGTGAAGACGAGTTTGGTCAGACACTAACATTGGCATTTCCGTGGTTCGCTTTAAGCTTTTACTGATTTTATTAACTAGGCGTTGCTTGACTGCTCTTGTTTCTCGAAAATATTTTAGCAATTCGGATGTGCTTTCAGTGAAGCACGCTCGGAATTTGAACATAAAAGGTCAACTTTTAATATCAGTTACGATTTTCCATTACTAAAAAATTGTCTGATGCACATTTCTTTCTTAAATAAAGACTGAATCACTAAAAGCCAACACTTTCCTGACTGATAACCGGTCCTCAAACAAGTCAAAGCTCTGTTATTGGACTATGAATTCAAATAATTTTCTAACTTTCAAAATAAGTCAGAAAAGCAACTGACGGTCAGTTACTACGCTGTTTATCGCAATTCGCAGTAAATATTTAGCAAACAACAAATTATTTTTTCTCATACATGTCGTCTGTTTCTTGGCCAAATGTGTCAAATTCCTTTGTTCTATTTGCGCAGTAAAACGACAGATATGCTAGCAAGAAGGAAAAGATTTTAACAATAGATATACAACATAGTAATGGTCAAATGTTTACAGAGATATATATTGAGCAATAAGAGATATTATATTTGCTAGATGCCTAATAAATGCCGTTTGCATTGATAATCATATTAAGATTTATTGCCTAGGTAATCTCTTACAAAAAATCGAAAAAATAGTAATTTTATCTGAGAAGAACGATCTTGTATGTCGTTTACTTTTTATCTATTTATTTATGTACAAAACTTGATATCATCGTTCATGTTCAAATTTTAATTCGTTTTCTGCCTTGACATGAGTGAATAACAACAAAGAGGAAGAAAAAAATTGTACATAATACTTTCTTGTCCTTGCTTTAGTCTTTCTCACTTGATTAAAATGAAGAAAATAACAGTCCATTTTATAGTACATACAAGAACTTCTTGTGGAAATATCTAATCTCAAGTCTTAAGCTTTAATCTTTAATTCTAAATATCCTCGAACAACGTCGAAGTAGAAGAGAAAAAGAAGGTTTTTAACTGAAGTAAAGTCAAACGTACTGAAAAAATAACTTTGTAATCATAAACTTCAAAAGGAAACAACCTGATAATAAAACAGAACTGACTCATCATACCACTTTTGTGAGAAAAACACGAAATGCTTTTGAAAGATCACTTTAAAATTGCTTATTTTTTTCTTCTTTAAAATTGTGAAAATAAAAAGTGAATATAATTTATTTTTGCTTTACACATGTTGAGTCATTCAAAACATTTGTTTAAATATAAGAAAATATGGTAACTTGCAGCACAATGCTTTTAGTCTGATTTGTAATAAAAAATATGTTTCACCTTCAAAAGAAATATATCTATATATAAACAAAAAAAGAGGAAATAAGACTCATAAAGGAAAAATATTTGTTTTCTTTTTTTGATTAATATTCAACGGTTTTAAATAAGTATATATACAGGTATTACAACATGTTCGAATAAAGGAGATCGAAAGACACAAAAAATTGATACCATGTTATTCAGTGTTTTAATCGCACGGTGAACAAACGGACTTGCCACTATAACTCCACGATAATGTCAACAGGAGTTCAAAATATTTACTTCTAGCTATAAATCTGATTGTAAAATGAACTTTTATTGAATTGTCAATTCTACTTTAAAAATGTTTACTGTGACATTGATTCCACAAGTGAAAAATTTAGTATAACAAATATTTTCTGTTAAAAACATCGATATTATCCGTGAATAACAACAAAATAAAATATTAAGAAAACGAGCAATATTCATGGTGTATTCGTTTGCAAGAAATTGTTCCTCACGAAAGTAGTCTAAGTCTAATCATCATTATTCCTTAATGTCTTTAATCGTATGAAAGATGTCATTTCAAAATTCAATTTACTACCTGAGGATTCGATAAAACGAAGTCTAAATTTAGTGTATGTACGGGGACTTAATAATCAGTTCAGTTGACATAAAACCAAGCTGTCCTAACAATCTAATTTACGTATTTATGATATAAAGACGAAGCAATATTGTTTGCAATACAGTATCAACCGACGAAATACAATCTTTCTTTTTTATAACTTACCTTTTATAAAAAAAATCTATGTTGCTTCTGCTAAAATCAATACCTCCAGTAATTCAATATTAGTTTTGTATTCATCATTCAGGACGCAAAGAAAAAAATCACCTGTACCTGAAAAAGTTTTTTTTTCTTGTGTTGCAGCCAAAAAAGCAAAGAAACAGAATCTTCTCTTCTCCTTTTGTTTTCCTATAACACTTTTCATCATCTTCAATCATTTTTGGAGTAGAACAGAAAAAGTAAATTATTTTTTCTGTTCTACTCCAGAAATGATTTATTTTTTATCATATATTCTAGAGGAAAACAAAGCAAGATTTCTCAGGTGTACTTGAATTGACAGTTTAATTGAAAGTTGGCCAGGATACGCCACGACAAAATGTTGATGAGAGCAAATTGACAAAATTATCTCATCCATTATAAACTCATGTGCCTCTAACAAAACTATTCCAAACAACTGCTTTTGTAACCTATCATTTTTAGAATAAATTAAAAAAGGGTAGGTCTATTGACACCCCCGGGGTGGCAGCAGGGAGCTATTGATAGTTCCAAGACTGGCAGCAAGGGGCTATTGACACTCCATCGAACTGGCAACAAGAGCTATTGACAGTCCAGAATACACTTATACACTGCAAAAATGTGTTATTTAATAAAGACCATCATCTCCAGGTAACATGGAAGTATTCCAGTGGCTCACTTTCATGCACAGCCGCCCAACCCACCCGAAATCACCTCTCATAGGCCGTCAATTTCAGAACTAATTCAACATAACACTTTGAATAACACATTTATGCAGTGTGTAAGTGCATTTTGGACTGTCAATAGCTCTTGTTGCCAGTTCGATGGGGTGTCAATACCTCCTTGCTGCCAGTCTTTGGACTGTCAATAGCTCCTTGCTGCCACCCCGAGGGTGTCAATAGCCATTCCGTTAAAAAATTTCCTCGTGAGACCTCCAAGACTTTTGTCTATTCGGGATGGTGAAAAAGTTCAAGACTTTCTTTAAGACACTAATAGTGTACTGCCATGGTGCAGTCGCTAAAAAATTGTGTTATCGTCACGCAATGACTTCTTATTCTTTAAAAAATTCGCATCAGATTTTCCTTAGTATAATCGAACAAGAGTCTTTATTATTGTCGGATGATTTGCTACACCACAATTTTTAGACAATCTTTTGACATAGCGTGGTTATCCCGTTTTCTCTTTCATTCGAGCCAGCAGTCGCTATACAATTTGGTTTTTCTTATTTCACTGAAATGTATCTTTCATTCCACAAGCAAATATTTTTAAAGAATAAGACATCGTTACGTAGAGATAACACAATTCCACAGGTAAATGTATCTTTTTGATCTAACGACCATTGGCAAAAAGTGCTTCGGTTCCTGAATTCTTAGACGTTCATGACTCATTAGGTATGCACCGATTTCGAATAATCAAATATCGATTACTCGATTTTTAATCGAAATCGGTGCACGTCTATGACTCATAGATCAATTGTTCTGTGCAGTGATTTATCTAGTGTGTAGGCCATGTGTGCGGCGCCCACCCGAATTTTCGCTTCGCCTTTCCGAAAATCAATAGGTGATTTCGTTTTAGCAAAAGTTCTTTTAGCCAACAGCCCCTCCAAAAATTTCAACCGCCCACCCGAAAAACGAAACCTAGATAAAAGACTGGTTCTGTGGCAAATAGATTTCTTAAAATTTATATCTCAAAAGGCTTGTGAATCGACACCTAAGCTTATATAAAAAATTCAGTTTGTGATAGTACACACTTTGCCTTCAGTCTTGAATCCTTTCTCAATATATGGATTTATTCTTATTTGCCGAAAAAAAGTTGTAAGCAAACGTCGGAGAAATTATTCATTATATGATTCATATCATATGATTCATTACATGCCTTGACCGTTAGATCGTTTCGTTGCTTCCTGGGTGATTCAACGCGGTCCGTAAACGACCATAAAATCGATTTATGACGCAGTAATTCTATGCTCCGTAATACTGCCGCCGTAAACGAGCATATAGTGGTCCATTATGGCCGTAAACGGTCTCGTAAAAGGTTGTTTACGGCTGCAGTGTTACGGAACATAGGATTACGACCATTTACGGGGTGTTACGTTACAGTACACGGTCGTAATTCGCCGTATATGGCCATCGTAACCAATGACCTGGGTTTGGCAATACTGCGTTAGGATTAAAAGAAAGGCAAGGCAACAGAGAGGCAGAACAGAATAGAACAAATTATCGTTTCGCTTGTTTTTTCACGCTATAATAGAAACTTAGCTCATCGTCCGTTCACATGCGTTCTTTTTTTTCGATGCTGTACTTTTCTACCATCTGATCTTCCATTACCAGTTCGCTCATCTTCTTGAATAAAAAACATTTCTTTGTTGAGTCGTTGATTAATTTATCGTACTTTTTAAAAAAGAAAACAGTAAAAGTAAATATCTCGGTATTATGTCTACTAGAAAAAGAGCTTGACATCTTTATTTTTTGTCACTAGCTGTATGTACAAAACAAAAAAGTAGATGGCATCGCCACGCACTCTTCCGATATTAAGTTTCCTTCCTAAATAGAAAATCTTCTAGGTTATCGAGCGCTGAATATGAAAAGGCATTTTTCCACGACTCTGAATGAACTTTATCTTTTCTTCACGGTGATGTGTCAAGCCACACAATATAGAGCTACACCGGCAGAAATGAACCTAGTTTGTTCGCTAATATCCATGTGAAAAAAACGCTTTTTCACCTGAATACTAATGAACAAAGTGGTATGGATTCATTTCTGGCAGTGTAGTATTTGGAGCTAAAAGGAAGTGAAAAAGTTGTTGTCCCTAAAAAAAGGAAGAAAGGAAAGGAAAGTCATTGTCTAAGACAAAGATACATTGTCCTACAAATGACGTTTTTTTCCTTTTTCTAGGGATCTCCCAAAAAAATAATGTTGGTTGCCTATGACTATACTCGATTGTTTGTTAGTTGTTGAATCAGCTAATAGAAAAAGAGATGTAATGATGTCGTTTACTTATTATGTTTTGTGTTTCTCATTGACAAGTCCACGCTTTCCTACAATTCCGACTGTAGTTAACTCACCACAAGATATGTTGGGGTCAAAAGCGGTTGGCTCAAGTATTATCTTGTTCACATGATAAATTTAAGCTCCATTTTATCGCAGTCTTTTTAATTTTTCTTTCATCCTCTGAATGAGGACAGTTTTTTAATCTGAGCTTTTAAAGACGCCATTTGGAGTTTAGTTTAATCTATATTTATCGTTAGTCACTTGAAATCAGCATCACAAATGGAGTCTGCTGAGTAACTAGAGTTTTTTCTTGAGTAACGAACGCATTTTTTGACTAAAAGTTTTTTCTGAATAACTGCATATTTTAAGTTAATTGAAGACTGTCAGTCTTTAATTAGCTGAAGAAACATCAGTCTTAGACTAATTATTATATTTTATTACAGAACAAGATTCATCAGCAATATGAAGAAAACGAGATAGAATTTAATTAATTTTTTAAACTATTCATCAATATAGATCCTAACATTTCTCGATTTTGCACGTTTCGGATTTGAATATATATAATATAAATACGTTCCTTTTCTTCTCAGTTCAACTGTTAGAACATCAGTACTACAACATTTATCACATCTACACCAAGAGAAATTTTTGACTTTAAGGTCACTTAGTGGTGTTGTCATTCGATATGATGTCGAAGAGCCAGTTGCTCAGTAAATAAATGAGTTACTCAGAAGCTAGAGAAAATCACTTACTCAGGTGCAAAAAAAGGCAGTTTCTGAACTTAAATTTTTTAAAAAGTTTCTGAATAGGTCAAAATTTTTTTAGTAACTTTATCCAAACGAGGGGATGGATTTCCGTCCCCTAATCGATAACGCTATATGATAAACTGCTCAGCTGATAATAGGGGTGGCACATTACTGTTACTTTTACGAGTAAACCTGAAAATTTTTCTTTTAAAATCCATTGAATTACATGTCAGTCGAATGGCGTATAAATGAAGATTCCGCAGTGCATAGGAAAGGAGAAAAAGGCCCAAAAACTTCGAATTTTCCAAGGTTTTACGGTAAACCTTTTCCCAAAGCTTTCTTGAAATTCAGTCACTTCCGTCAATTAAAAAATTTTCTGATTCAATAGCTCGATGCAGAATTCAATTTTCTATCGATCTCCGCAAACCGCAGATTTTCAACATTAAATTTCGATTTTTCATAGATGTTTTCCTGAAGCTCTGATATTTCACCTTTGCAAACTTTTTCGCAAAACAAAGAGACATGGACTAGACATGGAAAGAGAATTCTACGCGGATTCCAATCCAGAGTTTCTGAAAAACTGGTTTTTCAGAAAACCGAATCTTCAAGAGTAATGGGCCCGAATCCTTTCAGGCTTTTTATTAGCTCGATATACTCTATCGATTGAGGTATAACTCATTAGAAACGGAGGGAATCACCTCGGGCGGTTCCCTCGTTAGTAGGATCTATGAGTTATACCTCAATCGATAGAGTATATCGAGCTAATAAAAAGCCTGAAAGGATTCGGGCCCATTACTCTTGAAGATCCGGTTTTCTGAAAAACTGGTTTTCCAGAAAACCGGGTGGTCAAGAGTAATGGGGCCGGATCCGTTTTGGGGTTTTTTTAGGGCGAT